ACTTTCGTAACCATGTTGATATGCCCATTCCCTTCTCTTCCCACCACCGCCCTGCAGCCTGAGACCGTTCCACCACGCGTTCCCGGTCCATGACCTACCTCTGGCGAAGAAGTTTTACGGCGAGGTGAGCTGATAGCAGGAGGGTCATCGTCCCGAGCCTTGATTCCGCTTCCGGCTTGCCAGACGACACAAAAACAAATATTGACACCACGAAAACATGTATCGCTCACTTTTTAATAGAATTTGCGAAGCAACATGGATGACACCAAAAAAGGACTCCGCACTTGACGTAGTTTTCAAGGGACGTTTCCCAAGCTTCTGTTCCAGTTCAACTCTAGTGTCCAGCTGCACAGGTGACGTACATGTGTTGAGAGTTAGACGTAGGAGGAGGTTGCCCGCCGGTGGCACGCCATGTGGACAGTAAAAGTGAGGGACGCCCCCCGGGGTGCCATGCTTCTCGCTCTGGCGTTTTTTTCACGCACACATCTGGCAGGTACTCGGGCTGTCCGAAGGCCGTTCTTCCCTAAAGTGGCAGGACTATTCCCTAGACGGGCACCAAATCGTGTGTCATTTGGTTTCGAAGGATTACCGCTGCCAAGACTACGTGAACCCCGTGGGTGAGACCTCCCGTAACGAGTTTCAGAGTCAGCACTCGGTACGCTAGCGTTGTGTCTTCACTCCACGCATGCATGGCGAGTGTCCGTCCGTGATGAGGGCGTTGGGGTGGTTCCATGGTAATGAAGATGTCGATCAGAAGGAGTCAAGTGACGCTTGATGGCCTGCTCCCCACAGGCATCAATGCTGCTACTTCGTGAAGCCACGCCTCCCCCCTACATCGTGACGACATCGGTTGTACCTCTGACCGCTTCGACCCATTAGGTGCATGTACACGTCTCGTCAACGACAGTGCTTCTCAACATCACGGAGGGGGGGGCGAGCTCCAGACCAAGCCGTCTAGCGTGTGATACACGAACTCTCGCTACAACCGGTGTAGTTTGACTAGTCCGTTTTTGATGGCTCTCCTGCTATGACATGGCCACCACAGACCACGTGAAGCTACCTTAGGTCTATGGTGTGTTTTCCCTCGCCCAGCGCGCATTGCAAGCAAGTCCGTTCCACTCCATTGCGCCTCGTTAGCACGAGATCAACATTCTCTCGCTCGTGCTTTTCTCTGGGAACAGATGGTGACAGGGTTCCAGTACCGCACACCGGGCTCGCCATGACCGTGGAACAGTTCCATCAGTTCGCCGGCAGACTCCGCAAACATGGCGTCGAATTTGTCGTCGAGCCTCATCTCCGGTTCAAGGTGCGCATACGACTCGCACGAGTACCGTAGGTGACGCGAGATATCACACCCCCTGGATGGCTTTTGAAAGCTCGAGTACTGCACGACAAAGAGGATGCGGGAATGCAGCGAGACGTCGTCGGAAAGCTCTCAACCAGACGGTTCCCACACCACGACTTTCGGCACCGCCACTCTTGTGGGCTGCGGAGAAACCGAGCTTTGAAACTTGGTTCAGGGGGGTGTGGTATCTTGTGTCACGTACAGCACGCCCACGCATTGATGCACTCCCACATCATCGAACCCTGCCCACGGTTACGGCACCATGTCTCCTCCTCTGTGTTTGTGACTTCGCAGTGAGAAGTACATGACCAACCGAACCAAACGTTCGACCTACAGATACTGTTTCGCAGTGCGTGCATCGTGGCTCGGCTCACAAGGTGGCTCTGCTATTCACGCGCAATAATGTCGTGGTCCTGTTTCGTTGTACAACTGGAACCTCTTCAACGCCCCCCCCCCCCCCCCCCCCCCCCCCCCCCCCCCCCCCCCCCCCCCCCCCCCCCCCCCCCCCC